TTTTGATTTGAAAAGTTATCAAAAACTATACCTGAATTGTTATTATTATTTCTACTCCCTATAACAGAACCAATAATGATTCCCACGATGCATAAAACTGCCAATAAACTGATTGGAATAAAATATTTCTTCTTTTGATACCAACGACGATTTGGAGATCTGATGAAACAACTCATTAGAAATGCAATTAGATCGAGATAAAATGAAACTTACTCTATTGTAGGATAAAGATTAGCACCTGAACAGACAAGAAATATTTCAACTTAAAATAAACCTATAAATATTTTCAAAAATACCTTCAAACGGAGGTTCAAGTGGCATGTTTTGTGGCATCTTCTGCCGCAAATGAATGATGTGAAGATCACTTGTTGGATTTAATTGTGATCGCACTTCCATGTATGTTCCCGGTAGTAGTAGAATTTCATCTTCAGTTGAAAAATGTGAATGAACACTGACGTTCCTGGCATTGAAGACTTCGATGGAAAAAAGAGTTCTTTCGCCCATATTACCCAAATAGAGTTCGTTTTCTAGTACAGTAAGCATTGTTGTGCACGATGAAAAGGACCACCATATTACTTCAGTTCCACGCGGAAATGCGTCACTAACATTCTGTCGTACTCCACGCCAAACAGCCTGTGATGGCGCACATGGTATTTTGGCCAGAGCAGTAAGAAATAGTTTGAGGTATTTGAACCATGGTTTTAAACGTTCACGATCAGTTGCCTTGAGAGTTTGATTGAGAAGGAAATAAAGACTATCATGATCGTTAATCCATTCCATTGTATAGATACGAATCGAAGCTGATTCGTCGCGAGTTAGACTATCCTTTGGACGGTTGGGAGTATCTTTTAGAGCAATTGATACAACATTAAGTATATCATGAACGATGCCGACCAACGGAATACAGGCATCATGCAACGAAAGGAGTGGTTCATTGGCATAGCCGATGATAGGCCCACGGTCTCCAAAACTTTTGGATTCCTCGGTAATTAGACGACAATTTCGACGTCGAGGGCCTGGTTCTGTGGCAACATTCATTCTATCAAAGTATCAATTTGTTGACAGATGCTTGAATATATTCGATGTTGCAAAGATATTGTTTTTATATTTTAGATAAAAACCTAAATGAAAATAAAGGGATTAATAACTACTGACAGATTGATCATTTAGTGTTACATAAATGTGATAAAAACACCTATTGATAGTAAAAATTTAACTTGTATATAAATAATATTCATAATCCTTTGAACGGATCAATAAAAAATAAAAAAAGAGAAAAATTGAGCGAACAGATATGTAAAAGAGACAGGTTTTTTATGGTTTTTTTTTTATTATGACAATCACTCCTTCGTATGACTGCAGTGAAGAAAACAAGAGAGAAATAAATTGAATCGAATTTTCTTTTCTTCACGGCAATAAAGACTATAC